GGTTCGTTCACATCGCAGATGTGCAGGCCGCGGGGGAAGCGGCCGCGGCCGCGGAAGTCGTTCGCGCGCAGCAAAACCCGCCGCGGGACCGCCAGTCGGATCTCCGCGAAGTGGCCCAGCACCAGCGGCGAGACCATCGCGCGGGCCTTGAAGAGATCGGGGTGATCGCAGACCTTCCGCAGCGCGAGTAGGACGCCCAGAATGCCGCCGGCCCCGCCCTGGCGAATCCGCCGCCGGGTCTCCGACAGTTGAATGTAGTCGTCGTAGAGCGCGCGCTGGCGGCGGGAGAGGCCGCAGAGGACGACCTTCTCCGTCTTCGCCGGCAGCTGCCGCTCCACGTCTTTCTTGAGCCGCCGCAGCATAAAGGGGCGAAGAATCGCCTGCAGGCGGCGCACGATGTCCTCGTTGAGGGAGGCCCGGCCGGTGATCATCTCCTCCATCGGGTTGCTGAACCACTCGCGGAAGTCCTCGTTCGAGCGAAACGCCGAGGCGAAGGGCAACAAAAAGTGAAAAAGCGACCACAACTCCATAATTGAGTTCTGCAAAGGGGTGCCGGTCAAGAGCAGGCGGTACTCGGTCTGCAGGTCAAACAGCGCCTGCCATTTTTTGCTCAGGAAGTTCTTGACCTGGTGGGCCTCGTCCAGCACGAGAAACCCCCACGGCCGGCGACGAAACATCAGGCGATCCTTCAGGATGAGGTTGTAGGACGTGATACAGACGTGAAAGGCATCCTCGCTCGTCCAGCCCTTGCGGAGCAGATGGCGCTCCTTCGCGGAGCCGGCGTAGGCCAGGACTTTGAGCCCCGGCGCCCATCGCGTCAGCTCGGCCTTCCAGTTAAACAGCACCGTCGTGGGCACCACAATGAGGTGGGGCCCCCAATCGTTATGTTTCTCCGCGAAATAACACAACAACGCGATCGCCTGGACGGTCTTGCCGAGCCCCATCTCATCCGCCAGGACGCCGCTGAGTTTATTGCGGTACAGATGGACCATCCACTGCAGGGCGGAGCGCTGGTAATGCCGCAGCGGCCGCTTGCCCCCCTGCGTGTCCAGGAGGGATAAGGAGGACTCGAGATGCCGCCCCCCGCGATCGTCCTCGGCGTCATTCGCATCCCCGACGGCCCTTTCCTCCCCGCTGCTCGCCAATTCCGCGCCCGGGATGCCCTTCCCGGCCTCGAGGAGGCTCGCAATCAGGCGCTTGGAGAGGTCCTCGGTCTCGCGCAGGAGGTCCTCCTGCTTGCGCTTATCCCGAAGGTGCTTGACGAGGTCGAACTCGACCTTCAAAAGCTGCTGGAAGCCC